CCTTGCAGGTGGTTTGGCTGAAGATCGGGTCTGTTGTTGTGGTGACCCCCGAAGTTTGGCGAGGCTTGTGGGTCGTGTGAGAACGAAAACTTTGGCGTTAGCCGGAGTTTTCGGTCTTGCCGACGACCGCATAATTTATTTTATTTTTTATCTCATTTGTTACATTATTGTGATGTCCCACATCAGTTGGGGAGGAGAACAAAACACTATTTATAAGGGTGTGGAAACCTTCCACTAGTAGAAGCGTTTTAAAGCCTTAAGGGGAAGCCCAAAAGGAAAAGCCCAAAGAAGACAATATTTACTAGCCGTGGATCTGGGACGTTACACAGGCCGCCGAAAGACTCAGTGTTGGAGCATTCGAGGGTTGTGCAGTCACGGAAGGGTTGTTCTCAAGGGGTGTGAAGTATTAATCTTCTCAATTACTAGATTTATAAAGAGAGATAAAATATTTCAACTTATTGCACTCACAATTACAAAGTAAGTCGTATCAATAGTCTTACCTAAGATATTCAACATTATCCATATACTATAACTCATTTAGATTATTACTTACTTATGCATGGTCATCATCTAATATGTCAACCACAACGTTTCACTAATAATCTTGAATATTTCAAACAAGGTATAATATTAAATTACAAATAAAATAATAAAATTTATTATTAAATAATAAATTACAAGACTTTAGAATATAAATCTCAACACTATATACATAAAAGTTATGTGAGGTGTTTGTTGTATCAAATTGACGTACATGGAACAATCCCGCATAAAAAGAAAAAAAAAAGTGAAAACCAAAAAGCAAATGGTTCGGTCATATATATCTTTACCATTTTCTCGTTGCTCTCTGTTATTCAAGAGGAGTAACACTCTACATAATTTTGCTTAATTAGTTTAAAATCGTCGACACCCATTTGAATAATACAAAAAAAATCACCTAATTTCCAGCCATAAAAGTAACCAAAGAAATAAATTTGTTGTAGAATTAATAATTTACTTATTAATTCCTACTTGTGATAGTTTATACCTACACTATTCTCGTGAATTTTACACCATTATATAACATTAAGTTACAAATAAAGAGGAGATAAAGCCTATAACCTAGAGGGTATGAAGCCATGGAAAAAGAGATCCACACCTTTAACCTTTAACCTCTCACCTCGTTTATTCATTTATTTATTTAACCAAAGACAGTATAGTTATTTAAGTGCACCACCCATGATGCCAACCAGAATTAATTTCCACGCCTTTATATATATATATGTGTGTGTGTGTAGACACACAAGCACACAACTCGATCAGAGAGGCAGAGAGAAAAGATGTGTCCATGCCATTGAAAGGGTACCATCATCGTATTGGAAGCATCGGAGTGTGGAGCATCTTCATACACAACCCTCCATGAAGACATACAACACTTCCAACAAAACCCAACCGGTGTCGGTGTGCTCCCTCGCAAATCTGTCAAAAACCTGTTTTTTTCTCTCTCCGACAACATTCTCACCTTCTTCACTTATCCAATTTGTTCTTTTTGGGGTTTTTTTTGTTCATGTATTCGACCTTGTTCTGATCTAATTTTAAGTTTTAAGTTTTCTCTCCGTCTTTGCCAAGATTATGAACTTGTTCGTTGTAGTTTTTTTTTTTTTTTTTTTTTTTTTTTACCATATTGGTGAGAGAAAGAGAGAGAACCATCTTTGTAAGTATGAAAAGAAAAAAAAGCTATTTTTACCGTAGATGAGCTTCATCCAGCTACTACCTGAATAATGATAATAATAAATAAATAAGGGAGGAAAAAGGGAAAAGAGGAACAGACTTTTGTTCGATTTTTACCATCAATAATTGCTTTCATTTTTGTCGATTCCAAACGTTAAAAAAATATTATTTTTATGAGTACCCAATGATATATGGCTTTTTTTTTTAGTGTACGGTGCTCGTACTAATGAAAACTGATAAAAAAGAAAGGAAAATGAATAGTATCGTGAGTGTAACGCGCTAATATTTTTACTCTAAATTAGTGACGTTATTACATATCGGTTTTGAACACATATGTAGAAATTCATATTAAATACTTTTAAGAAAAAGCTATGAATTTACCTATTCAATTTGAGATAAAATAAAATGAAATAAAAATATTTATCAACTACTAAATGAAATTCAATCCTAACCTTCATGGCCTCTCCAACACTCGTCGTCATCTGTATATGGGAGATTTACCTTTACCTTGAGAGTAGCACATAGCTTAAATATTTGAAGAAATACTCGGTAGTAAGTCACTCCACTGTTGAGGTTAGTAATGCAATCACACACATAACTTACTTGGTTGGCCTTGGCCGATGTTAGTAATTACTCAGTAGCTGTATCGAGCACTATACTTTGACGTTAAATCTCACATATATTAATCCATATCACGTACTTAGGGCATATTAATATCTGGGCGTATTAATCCATATGTGTGGGTTGCGAATGAAGGCATGAATGAATGTGTGAATGAGGGGCGTGAGATGGGGTTACGAAGGGTTGTGGGAGGTATCGCCTCGCTGAAAATCTCACGATTTTCCAACAAGATTTGAATTTTCTTTTTAACTCAAATCGTTACAATATGAGCATCAATACGTATGAGATCTCATAATTAAAATTATGGTGGAATGAAATGATGTTCATAATAATTCCTGAATTAAATTCCTTACAAGTCATGTATGCATATTCCTAGTATTTCAAAATGCTTATACTACATTGTTCATCATGACATCTCGCAAGACATAAACATGAACATGTTAGCATATTAGTCATACTCGAACGTACATGGAAGCACATATATCATATAATTCATACAACTATCATAATAATTTAATAACATATAATTAGAAGTTACAAGTTACGAGTTATTTGTTAAACATACAATTTCATTCCACTTAACCCGTAGACGTTTCTAAAAAAGTACATTCCTAAATTTTGAATTATAATGTTATTTCATTCGTTTGGTTAGTGATTTAGTTAAACTCGTGCATGTTCATTTTAATGAACGAAATAAATTAATATCCATTAAATAAATTCTAGACAGCTCCCCATAAACCCTAGTTTAGAATCTCCGCATCCAATTACTCGTCTGTTTGACAATTTAACCAAGCCTACTACTCCTAATTTAGCCCTACTCTAATCGTAATAATTCAAAATTTAAAGAACGTGTTTATTGATAGACACTTTTCGGTGAATTATATATCAATTGTAAAACACTTTTTTTTACACTTATTTAGATTTTTTGACCGACGTTTTTCGAGATAGATTTTGCAATTGCAACAATCGAGGTTAATGTTAGGTAGGCAAGATGTAGATGAGATGTTAATGTTGTTGAAGAGAATTGAATAAAAACAGTGTTTAAAAGTTTGGGAACCACTAAATTTGAAGTACTACTTTGTCTTCAATTCTTTCAATGCCAAACTATTCACTTCTTGACCTCACTTCCACCAAATTTGTCTACTCTTAATTCAAATCTCATCCTTATTCATGTACCTACTTTGACCTACCCATTTCATTTCAAATATATATATATATATTCGCTATGATTATACACTTAAGGATTAGATTGACAGCGGTAAGTTAAAATAAGAGCATGACTCTATGATATTGTACTGTTTGACCATAAACTCTTAGGGTTTTATGTAATTAAGATGTTCTTTTCGATAAGCTAACATGGGATTTCAAGGACACCTTTTTATTAAAAAAAATTAATAAATTTTAAAATATGAGAAGAAAATTATAAATGTGGTCGGAAATAAATTTGTAGTGTGGAATGAAAAATGAGGAAATTAAGTGTAGATCATAAATAAAATTTGTATGGAGGTAAGTTATTAAATTTAACAGTGATAAATGAAGGGTCAAAATTTACTTATTGTACGGAATTGAATGGTGGATTAAAATTCATTTAATTGCACAAAGACAGAGAATGTGTGTGCTAGAGACGCTTGAAATAAATTTTAGAGACATGAGATGATGTCGTAAATGTAGAATATCTTCTTCTCCCCACTCACGGCCATGCCTCACCGTCCCCAAATCTCAACTACCAAACCTCGTTAGAGATCTCAAATTCCTAGTCAAAGAACTCGATCTACGTGAACACAAAGAACTTGATCTAGATGAACACAAAGAACCTGAGAAAAAAAAAATAAAAAATTGAAGCAAAGCCCAAACCCGAACTGTTGGTGTGCGGACAGCCCATACAAATGTACAATCTTTCAGCCGAGGCCTAGCCCACGTGTCCTCAGTTCAGCCCACTTGGCCCAGACACGCGATCCACTTGGCCCATATCCAACCTGGCACATACACGTACTGACCCAAAAACCCGATCCAACTAACCCATGCCTACTCGACTTGAATCTGCACCTCGACCAGCTTCCAGCCGCCCTGTGCACCCATCCAATCTGGAGCCCTTCCAGCTTGCCCACGCAGCTTCATCGAGTGTGGCTCAGCCTCGGCTTTGCGGCTCCAGTCTATTTTTCCCTTGGCTCAACAACTCAAATTTGTGGCTCTAACCGACTGCTCAAATTGTAGTCTCGGAACCCTTTCCTACACTTTTAGATCATCTTAGAGTCGATTTTGATATTCTTAGGAGTGTTTGAGGTCAAAATGACTACTGTGCATGTGTTGTATCATATGATTGTTTAATGTCTGCTTATTATGTTATTGATTTGATGTGAGTGTTATTTTATGTCATGTTATGAAATTTATTATGTTATTTTATGTTGTCATTATGAGATATACTATGGAATGCATCCGCGTGTTTCTCTAACGATTCCTACAAGTATTTCTTAACAAAAATTGTTTCCTTGAATCCTTTGGACTAATGGAGCTGAGGATCATGGAGATTCCAATGAGGACACCAGATCTACATACAAGGAGACTTGAATTATTGCTTGGTTCAGTCGAACCATTGAATTTCAGCTTTCACAACATTTTTAAACTCCGATCTATTCCCAACTTATGATATTATCCATTTCGAGCTTAAATTGACATGGAACTATATTCACATTCCCAACATTCGATACCGAACAACAAACTAAGCAATAGGAATTAAAGCTGGGTCAGAGGGGCAGGGGAGAAAGTCAATTCTTTAGGGTGCACACATTGTTCTACAAATTTTATGAGACAGGCGATTTTTACAGAACTAAACACAATCTATTTGGAAGAAGGAAAGCATGACATGGGTCAGTTGATTCTACTTATTCACAAGCCAACTTGGTGTCAAAGCTACTCAAACAGATAGCAAAAGCTTGAAATGCAGACAATGGATATCGGTAATCCATTGTAAACATGTCCTTCCCGACCTTCCCGAATTGAAGAATGATCTTGTCGTGGTCGGACTGGGAAGATTGTGCGTGTTGGTTTGTAGCTGTAGAAGAAGAAGCCTCTGTTGAAGCGATCAGTTGGAAGTTTTTAACAGATGCAACGGTTACTCGTCCCCTGAAATTAAGGCACCAACACTGCAACTGCTCGTGCCACCGCGGTGGCTTATTCCTAAGAATCAATGGCCTCTCCTTCCCCGCTTCATCTTCATCCCGTGAACCAACGATATCAGAGAAGCGGGAACTACTGAACTCTGTAGAGTTTAATACAGACTTCGAAAACGATATACTTCGAAACGAATCACCAAGGAGTCGAGTGACGACTTGGGGCTGGCCAGGAACAGTGCCACCGGGCTCAAGACATGAGATGGGGATGGAGTGCATTGTGCAATGCATCTTTCGGGGGCCTCTAGTGCCAAGAACGTTCAGCTCATAGGAGACTTGAGCAATATTATAGCTACCGGATGGGATCTTCGGAGAAACTTTTTTCGAGTAGAATCTACGACTATGGCCTGGGGGGGAAATCTGGGCATTGTTGTATGGAGGCTGTGTATCATAGATAATAAATTTGGTCCCTAGAAAATTCGACCTGAAATGAAGAGAACAGACCACAAGAAAACGCTTCAAGAACTGAATCAGAATAACTCGACGAAATCTAAAAAACATGTGCTTCTTGTACTTTTTTACGAACAATTTTAGAAGTCGAAAACTAAAAACCACGTGGCAAATGGCTACAGGCTTACGACGTTCAATATTAGAACTGCAAGTTCCTATCTCAAATTAAATTTCTTCTAAATTTCAATGTACTCGACTTCTCGATTTGAACACGATCCATATGAAGTGTAAACTGATAAGCATTCAGCATGGCATATAGCTTAAATTACTTTAGGAAAGGCGTGTTGCGAGGTATCTTCAAGAAATAAGGAACTTAGGATGAAGATAAACAATCCTACCTTAGTTTTCCAATGTAGGTGTTGCTCGATCTTGATATATTATCCGCATCCATGGAAATCATGTACTCAGTGCAAGTCGTTCTCCTTGTTCTTTTCGCAGAAAGAAGAAACTTCCCATTATCAACAAGTAAAGCTGCAAGAGTATCATTATTTAGAAACATATCCGTGACTACATACGTATATTTATACATATTCATAGTCGAATACCTAGAAGCTGATACATAACAACTAACAATAGTACAACGAAGAAGATTCACATCTCAAAACCGAACCAGTACTACATTATGCTTACTTGTACTTAACCCATTTTAGAAACCGGGCAATTGATGCATAAAAGGTCAAAGCGATTCATTTACAATGTAAAAACAAACAATAAAGTGAATGTAGATGATATGGTGACTTAAATAAATGAGCCACTCACACATATACTGTAACAGCCCACAATTCACCACTAGTAAATATTATCATTTTTGGGTTTTCTCTCAAGGTTTTTAAAACACGTCTGTTAGGGAGATGTTTCCACATCCTTATAAAGAATGCTTCGTTCTCCTCCCCAACCGATGTGGGGATCTCACAATCCACCCCCCTTGAGACCCAGCGTCCTCGTTGGCACTCGTTCTCTTCTCCAGTCGATGTGGGACTCCCCAATCCACCCTCTCAAGTATCTCAACGATTTGATTCTAATGATCAAATTTAGCTTAAAAGAATTGATATCCATAAGGCGTGAGATAAGGATCAAGAATGAATGCAACAACAATGAAAGAGGAGCTTACCAGTACTAAGGCAAAGGTAAAGGTGGTATGTCAAATTAGATTTGTCCCTCTTAATGAAGCATTGCATCGTTCCATCGCGAGTCCCGGGCTGCAAAGAGAAATGAATTAAGAAATTAGCTTAGTCTTCAGTCTTCACAAAATGTATACTTAAATGTTCTTTTATATCCAACATATGGGTGGAAATTAATTAGGAATTACAACATTTTGTTGCTTTTGTACCTGCTTTAAGGAGACAGGGAACGTAATTTTCCCAGAGAACTCGGGAGTTTTTACGATCTCTTTGCACATATCCCTCCATGACCTACAAACAGCAGCACAAGCAACAACATTCCTGCGAGCAGGCCACACGCTCTCACTCTCCTCCAATCTCATGACAACATCCCGCAATAGCTCAGGTGGAAGGCTAGCCCATCGACTGGACTGAATTACCAGAGGTTGATCGAGCAGATCATGGACTGATCCATGAGATTTACCTCTATGGTGACCAGGTAGTCTGAACTCAAAACTACGCCTCGATAAACTTCCAAACCCCTCTCTAACATCACGGACTATACTACGAAATGACATCACTCAAAGAAACACAAAACTCTGATTAACGCCTAAATGCCAGTTACAAGATAATTCGTACCACGATCTACACCATCAACTGCATATCAAAAAGATAGAATTCAAATGTCAATCATTATGCTCAAAAAACAACAAAAAAACATGAAAAATAGATGCTTGGACCAAGCATAGATCATGAAATCTCTGCTAAGATGCTAACCAACCTGCGCATCAGATTCTATGGAACAACCAAAATGATGGATTTTAAACCTGGTATGAGCCAAATTTCCAGATGCGCGCATCCAGTTTTTCATATTTTAAGCTGAACAGATTATGCAAAAGTATTTTTACTTTATGAAAGTACAAGAATGGATCTAACTTCTAGTCTGGATTGAATTTCAGAAACAGCTACAAATCATTGAAGCAACAGAACATGACTTACAAAATTAGGAATCATATGATCAAGAGATTAAACAACAACGCCTAAAATGAGAACCCTAGAAAGAAAACAGAACAAAGAACAGACCCAATTGGTAACACAAGTCAAAGATCCATTTCCTCACCAAGAGGGTTTCTTAAACATAGAAACTAGAAGTAAATGATATCCAATGTGGATTTAGAAACAAACCCTAGACAATAGAACCAGCAGCTAAGAAACCCCATTAGAGAGCTTGAATAAATAGACACAAAAAGAACCATAAGAGAGCAGAGGAAACAAACTTAAAAGAACCCCAAAAGGATTATAGAAGCTGAAAACGTACCGATTGAAGTGTGAGCCAAATCCAAGCCTGAAAATGACGAAAATAGAGGAATCTGAAGATGATTTTAAAAACCCAGAAACCTAAAACTAATAATCCCCAGAGGAAAAGATGAGATTGATGAACAAGGGGATGAAGAGAATCAGTTTGAAGCTTCTTAAGAACTCCCTCTCGCTCTCTGTTCGCTCTCTGTTCGCTGATGTAGAACCCGAGTTTAGCAGGCTTATAATAAATCCAACGCGTGAACTAATTTCTCACAAAATTTTAAAACAAATTAAAAATAAATAAACTTCTTGCTTGCTTGCTTCCTTGCTTGACTCAAATTTTAAATGGACGAATCCTTCTTTCCACTTTCGAAGATCCAAGAAATCAATTCATTTTATTTTTCTTAAATTCAATCCGGGTTTTAATTAATCTTCACAAACACTGTTAGTTGGGTATAGAACTAATGCATTTTTAGAATCTTAAAAGTTTTATTTACCCAATATGAACGTCATCTCAACCTCTTAACTACCACTAAAAATGGTTTGAATTTTAATTTTAATACATTTCGTTTTCAAGTATTAAATGGTTGTTTCTTAATATATGCTTTGTGCTATAAATTTGTTTCATAACTAATCCTTCAAAAAAAAAAAAAAATCAATTAGTTCTCCTCGTGGATCCATACCCATTCGGTAACTCAACTGAAAAATATTAATTAGTCATTTGGATGGAATATTTGGTTGGTCACGATATAACTCTAATTTATTATTACTATTTTTTTAATGGTGATTTTTCCTAAATTTAAAAATTATATTATCAAATTTCGTTAGACATATATTAATTTTGTATTTTGTTTATTATCGTAGCTGAAATGATCTTATCAATAAATAATAATTTATAAAGAGGTGGCTCAACTCCAAATTTTAATATCACGAGTGAGTCTACCACCAATTAATAATTTATATTGAAAAAATGTATACATTAAAAAATTCTTTAAAAATAATAATAAATGGAAACAATTTTACACAGAAAACTCAATCGCTGCAAAAATAAATGAAATTTTCATGGAGACGAGGAATAAAATAAGTGATGTGTATAAGAACGGAGAAGACTTTCCCTCCTCACCCTCGTGAACATCTCTAATCGATTTTTATTTTTTAATGTTTTCAAATATATATATATATATATATAATTATGGATATTCTGAAAAGAAAGAAATAAAAACAAATTCATATATTATAATTACTTGTATTTATCTCGTATTTCCTTGATGTACCTTGATATAGGCGGTGAAACCTATGTTTCTTCTTCTTTATAAATAAATAAATAAATAAATAATTTAGAATTTTTTAAAATTTAATCCACCAATCTAATTTGTCCCACATGAAAGATCATTCCAACAGCTGAAAAAACATATTCCATTATTTTATTTAAATCTCCCACTGGGTTTAATTATTTATATTTATATTTATTGGCCTCCTCCCAGACAGAGCCCACTGAAACGTAGGACACGTCAGCCAAACTGAAATTACTGAATTATCCCTGAATGAAGGTTGACTTCTGAACGAACGGAAAAATAACCCGACAACCCTACCGGCCCATATCTTTGAGACATTTCTACGAGATCCGCGGACACGTTATCCAGATTTTGCCACGTGTCTCTTTTACATACGAGGTTATTTTATTTAATCTAAAATATTGCTAATAATAACTATAATGACGATATATAATTTTAATAATACTAACCTATTTTAATCGATTAAAAAGACGTTTGCATTGAAAATTATATTAATACTAACAATAGATAACAATAACTGATTATAATATTTGTTTTGGATATAGTATATGACATAAGCCAATTACAAGTTCTACAACTAAAAGAAAATTTTAAAACATTTCAACGTATTTCAAAGCCAAAACCTACTAGCAGTCCACATCAAAAAATAATAAATAAATAAATAATATAATATAATGCATAAATTATATTAAATAATACCCTTTAGGATATTATGTTTTTAGATTTAAAATATATTAGTTGAATTATAAATTTGATTTTTGTCAATTTATATTTTTAAATTCTTAGCTATTAAGAATAGCATAATATCATAGATAAAACAACCGTGATGTTCTTTAACTATTTTTTTTTTTCTCAATTTAGAATTAATGTGAGATTAATTATCTTGTTTGCTTCCATTCTTATAGTGCCTAATTATTTAAACAATTTTGTGTTTATCCGTGAATCAAATGTCATCCGGTTTGGAATGAAATTCTATTGGATGATGAATGTCTCGGGTTGGAGAATAATCATGGATTTATAAACCAAGAATACTTTTTCCATTGGTACGACGTCTTTTGAGTAAGCCCAAAGCAAAACCATGAGAGTTTATGCTCATGCTCAAAGTGGACAATATCATATCATTGTGGAGAGTTGTGTTCTCGTCTAACAAATTCAACTTGGGCGACGAATTTAAATGTAATGATCCGAAATTTCCTACTTAATTTAAGGTTGCTATTGTATACATATCATAAACATGATTGCGGAAATACTTCATTTACACTTTCATTCTAGATTGTCATGGACTTACGTGTTTTGTAAAGTAAATAAACGTTTAAATAAAAAACATCATATTCTAGCCTAAGTCTATGAAAATAATACGACTACCCTATGCATGTGTCATTGTCTCAAGTTGCAATGTCGTCGTCAGCCGTACAAAAATGTCTTGCCTTAACCTGAAATAAAGATAACACGTGAGTTGAGTATTTTAAGAAGTACTTAGTAAGTGATCCACTATTGAGATTAAATGCAAGAACATACGAATGCAATGACGGGATCTATCATATCAATCTATTTTTCCTACGACACTATTCTAATGAGCAGCTTGGATGTGTACCATATACTCTTACACACAGCCCATACGTGCGGGTATGAGCTCACCAGACACAATTTGCAAACCATTGGGCCCCTTTTCTTGTCGGACGAGTCTCCTTTAGTAGCTCTCCTTCTGCCGACACCCATTAGAATTAGTAACAGTTACGACAGAATTATGTAAAACATAATGATACTTCGTCTGCCTAGTGGATGTACACGTCTGTACCCTCGTGATGGAATAAGGGTATCCCCCAATGCATGAGCACACATAGTGCATGAGGTCCCAACATTTTTCCATTTTTATTATCATTTAATACAACCCCGCTAGCATTTTGTACATATCATATCGTTTTTTATATCATTTCAAATATCGTTCATCATTCATATCATATCGTTTCTCATGCTTTAGTTCTCATATCATACATAATTCTAATGGGGTTATATTTCATGTCATTTATCCTGATTTCATGTCATTCATATCATGTTGTGTACACACAATTTAAGAGACATAACATAATGTTTCATGCTTTTAACATAACATTTCATCATATACCTACCATAACATAACATATTGCATCACAATATATCATATCATAAACATGTCAGCCATAACATATTTCATATCATATGACAATATATATATATATATATATCCATAGTTCACATGTCATATTATAATCATATCAGGTTGTAAACATTTCGGGGTCATATCGTTCCCTAATTTATCATAGCCTTAACGTTCTTATACCTATCACAATCATATCGTTACATGAACGTACCCTAGTCATATCCTCACAAGGGCATATCCTAACGCTATCGTTCTATCAATCTATCATAAACCTATTCCTTTCTACCCATAACCTAACCGTATTATTTTATCAATCTCTCATATCCATAGCACTTAAGTATGTAACCTAACTTTAACGTTTCATGAATGTATCTTACTCCGATCGTTACATTTCGTTTGTGCATCTTTCTCGTATTCTATCTCAAACAAATCATTGAACATATCATACCGTAGTTATTATCATATAATTCACATATTATAACATATACATAACATATCATAAGCATATCGATCCACAAACAATTCACACATATCAAGATATGCACGTGTCGAATCACGGGACAAGTGTCAACATCAAATATAAGCATGCTGATAGTAAGGTCACTTACCTAGTTAGCTTAAGTTGTTGTCACGAATATATTTTTAATGAAAGTTAGATTTTGTCTTTTGAAATCCAAGTCAACCTATGTGAGCCCATGACATCAGTTTCAAGTCTATAAAATTATCTCTCATTCACATGGGTCTATTGTTAAAAGTCTTGAAATGTTATATATTTATAATTATGTTTTTATTAAAAATCTTATTTTCTATGGTTAGTGTTAGACTTATTTAAGTCATTTTATACTTTCATATATTTTTTTTTTCTCTATATTTAGTTTAAGTTTTTAATTCTTTAATTTTTTTTATTTTATTTTATTTTTTTTATTTTTTATTTTATTTTTATTTTTTTTATAATAACTCGGTCCTAATTTTATGGGTTTTTTGTTAAGTCTTGAAGTACTCAAGAAAAATTCTTAACAAGTGTACCCTAATTCATATGAGTCATAAACATTTATTTGCATGCATAAAACTTTCGTAAGCCTATCATTTGGTATTCATAAAATATTTGATTTATTATAACGTGTTTGATAGATAGTTATGTATTTTAAATCTTAATTCATACTCCAAAAATTTCATAATTCCCTAAAATCTTTCATATTTACCCTTAATATCATAAATGAGTCTCATATAATTTTCTATAGTATTTTGAGTCTTCTAGGATCTTGAAAACGTCATAGAATTGTCATAAGGGTCTTTTGGTCATTTACCACCCCAAATCTTGGTTTAATTCTTCAACATATTCCAATGCCTTGTAACTTTTGTGTAATCCTTTTACACCATGACATAAAACTCCTCATCAAATTTCATTTTACTTAGAGGTCACTTTGGTCATAAGCTAGTGGTGCATAATTATAGGGACATTTTAGTCATTTTACACCTTCACTTGGTTTAGCCCATTATCCTAACCTAATGGTCACCAAATTTCGTACCTAACATTATCATGT